ACCCCAAAGCATGAGACTTATTTGGGGCCTTACAGTGGACTGTGAAACTTAGTGAACTGATAGTTTTAGGGCGACCGTGTTTGAGTCAGTGGCACGCTTTTCAGGTTGGAAAGGGAGCAGACACCCCGATTTTGAGACACGCCCCTTCGCCCTGGAGGTGGTGACATGGGGGGACCCCAACTTTGGGGGCGACAGCAGCGGCGTGAAGGAACAGCTGGAGAAGCTGTGACTTGGCAGGCTCGATGTTCATAAGCCAGCTCAAAGAGGGGAACCCCCAATTCAGTGGTGGTTTTCCTTTTTTTGTTTCTCTTTTATTAGCCTAATCCCAAAGAGGATATCCTCAAGCCCAGATCTTAGAGGCAAGTGCCATGACTGTCTCTCTGTGTATCCTCTGCTACATCTTTTTTTGTTTTTGTTTACTTTGAAGCATTTCCCCGTTGAACTGGGGGACTTTCAGAAAGTGAAAGTCTGATCAGAGTCAGCGGTTTTGTTTTGGAGAATCTGGTGTTGCGGAGGTAGGCCATCACCGGCTGAGAAAGGCGACGTTTTCAGGGAGCTGTTTGATCAGTCGCGGGTCTGCGTCGGGCTGAAGCTCAGCCAGGCTGCAGTTCTCAGGTGTGCGCCATAAGTTGCCACGGTCTGACGTACAGCTGCGGCAAAATGTTAGTATGAGGCACACAAAGAGTTGCCCTGGTTCAACTGGCGGTAGATTCGCACTTTGCAGGTTCTGTGTCCACTGCTACAAAGCACGGCAGCTGGATGGGCTTGACAAATGAGTGCAGCCTTTGGAAGTAAAGAAACTCTGGCAGCTTGCGAACACATCTCCGGGCCAGGAGGGAAGGGTGGGTACTTGCATGTTGCAGCTTGCATGAAAATATGGCTTTGACAAGACGACCTTCCAAGCTTTGTGGCGAATGTCAAGAGCCATTCATTTAGAGTTTGTTTTGCAGCTGAAGTGGGCTGTGCTTTTTTGGTTCCAGGGGCCCTTTTCGGGGCTGGTTTACGGGAAACCCAAAAAACCCCACCGCCGGTTTTTGTCTGCCGATGTTGAGAGCTGGACTCTCAGCGCGCATGGAGCAATTTTCGGATCATTCAGGGGTTCACGAGAGGCTGGAATAAGTTGTGTTGTAGCATCGCTGCTAATGAACGCTAGCAATACAATCAAACATTATACATATACATTTACATGTAAGTAAATGAATAAGTAAATACTATATATATATGTATACATATGTATATATATATATATATAATATAACTGCATGTACATGTCTCACCCCCCCAGGGCCACCATGATTGCTCTGCTGCTTTTTGGAGGAGTGAGCGGAGTGAGCCTCTATGGCCCTTGTGAATCAAAGCATTCGGTCTCCTTATTCTGCAGTCCAACTTTGAGATCGATTTGGCCATTTTGCCCCACAATTCGTGGTCTAAATGACTGGAATTTGCATGTCAACCAGCTGTTACCCGACATGTTGCCAGCTTACACTTTGACAGCACATAGTTCGGACAGTTGCACAGGGACAAAGAGAACGGCAGGTTTGAAGACTGAAAGCCTCCAAAACATGCACAGCGACAATACATGCACATTTTGGCAGCTTGAGGCTCCACAGGGACAAACAAAAACAAACATTCCAGAGAGACTCTGGTCCCTGTGCTGGTTGGGAGCGTCTAGCTGTCAGAATGCGCAGATTGTGTCCTTGGTTTGACTCAAAATTCAAATACATGCATTTGTTTGTCCCCTTGCATGCTTTTCATCAAGCAACAAGCAGAGGACAACGTCACACTTTCACACGCTGCCTGACCAAAGATCGCACTCGGATTTGGTTTTAGTTTGTTGTGTGGACAGTTCTCATCTCCAGAGTTACTCAGCATGGCAAAAAAGCTAAACACACACACAGACAGAGGTATCTGCAGTACTCCTAAGAGGTCCGTCCACACTGCGCAAGTATGTGCTCAACTGCAACAGTTGTAGTCATGCTGAAAGGTGAGCCTTGGGAGGGGGTTGACCATAACAGATACGCATACACACATCAGGAACAACTTCAATAACAGTAATGTATCTTTCTTCATGATAGCAGTTATTTGAATCGACTTCCACAGTGAGCACGCCAAAAGCTGTGTTGGCCAGCAAACGCAAGCAACCTTGACCTGAAGCCCAACGATCTGATCATCTTGTTTTTCTTGAAATGGGTGTGGCTCAAAATTAAACAGGAGGGGTTACGCAGGTTTTGGTCCATGTTTCCACTTACCAGGGCAACCCATTGTGGAATTCCTTCTTTTTTTTGGAGCCACCGCCAAATGGCTTTTTCGCTGCCGCTGGGGTTGTTCAAAGGGAGCCATTTTCCGGTCCCAATGACCTGAGGCGAGCCGCCTGGATTTCGTGGAGCACCTCATTTTGCAAGGCGTGGTTGCTCAGTCATTTCTATTTGGGTGTGGGGTCAAAATGGGTGCCCAACATGGGTTACCCTGGCAAATGGAACCATAGACTAAAGCCTGTTTGTTTTTTATGCTTTAATTTTGACCATGCCCATTCTGCGGTGAAACGTGCCCGATTCAGAAGAACTGGCGTGAGATTCGAGAACGTGCCCTGATTTCTGCCGAGTTCTGTAGACGTATTCTTTGCAGGTCAAGTCAGGGGCTGCTCTGCTTGTAGCTCAAATTGATGCAGTTGCTCCTGTTTCAGCAAATTGGAGTGAAGCCTTCGCGTTAGCAATGGTCAATTGCACGGCTACTGTAGCCGAGGGAATGACATTTCAAGCGCGGTCGACCAGGATGGGCAGATCTTTTTTTTCATTGCCAACTGTATAGAGTCTTCACCTCCAAAAAGATGGCCAATGATGAGGCGATCGCTTGACCATCGCCTTTAGGTGCCCGCAGGTTCGCTCAAGCCAGGCATCTGAGCGATGGACGCGCTCCCATGTGGCCAGGTTTGCGGAGTCCGCGCGGCCTCTGAGGCAGCGTTCATGGGTCACAGCTTGGCATGGTGCAACGGTGCTAACCATTCTGAGCTTTCAGCTGGAACGCCCACTGGTAGAAAGGAGAAGGCTTGAACTGATTGTTTGCAACGCTGGATGAGTGCTTGAAATGGACAGAAGGCCTGATGCCGACCAGGTCAACACTGCACACTTGCATACATGGAGCTTTTTCCGAGAGGTTTGGTGCACAGATTAGGCCCCACGCACACCTTCCGTGTGAGAGGCCTGGAGTGCTTGCGGTTGGGCAACTTGGAGAGTCGATTTGCCTGGGTGAAGGAGTCGGAAGCCAAATGGAAACCATGCGGTGTTGACGCTGCCCACCTTGCTCCATGAGAAAGGCTTTGCTACATTTTTACATGGCTGCTGGGTTTTTACTTCGCGGCGAGTCGCACTCAGCTAGAGTTTTGGCAGTCAATGCAGGTGAGGTGTTGATGTTGCCTCAGCTTGCTTACGTGGCCATGGAAGTGATGTGGCTGTGGGTCAAACATAGGTACACCAAATGGAACCCTAGTAAATGGACACATGGACTAAACCCTGCGGTCCAATTCCTGGTGATTTAATTTTGACCCATACCCATGTGCACACAAGAAACTCTTGGGGTACTCTTTCCGAGGTGAGGAGTTTGCCTCGGGCCGGCTTTTCGCGGAATGGCAACGATTGGAGGACACCCCCGCCAGATTGGTTTGAGCTACAGTTGGGTGAACGTCGATTGGGGATGCGTGCTGAATTTTTAGTGGATCCACAAAATTGTGTGTTTTCCTTTTGGTTTCCTTTCAAACCACCCCCCCCCAAAAAAAAACAAGAAGAGGAAGAAGAAACACGACAAACACGAAAAAACGACACCCCACCCGAGGCACGATTTTCACACTTTGGTTTAGTCATTCGGGACAGCTTGAAAAATACAAAGTCTTCCGCCATACTTCCAAACACATATCGCCTTTGAGATTCATTCAATGCCTTGGAGGTATGATGCGTAGCTGATTACACCTTTTCGATCTGCTTCGTTAGGACATCCGCCGCCGCTGGCCTGGTGTGCCCTGGCGGAATAGGAATGGGTGGCGTATTCCACATTTTCTGTTTACAAGACCCGCTTCCGGCTAGCTGGCACTGGCACACTTGTTGGATCTGGCCCAGACGTGCACAAGGGAGGGTTCAGTCATGAACAAGCGGATTGAACGCAATGCCAGCCGATGTGGAATTGTCAACGCGTGTTTTGCCTCTGAAATTCTTGTAGTATTGGAGCTTGAGTGGACAAACTACGCACGACGCTGAGGGACCAAAAAGACGCATAGTTCCACACATCTACTTGAAAGGATCAGCACGCTGAGCAACAACTTCCCAAGCTGCCTTGGCTACCAAAAGCTCCCTAAAGTTGTTTGCAATTGGTGGCCGACCTTAGACCTTCCGAACCAAGCTCCCACTTGAGTTCGGATGGTCAGCAGGAATTCTATGTTTGTTGACAGAAGCAAAGGCTTGAGGTGTTGAACGCACCCTTGCAATATGAAGCTCTGTCAAATGTAGCTTGCCACCGTGGCTTATGCTGCCAAGAAGAAAAACAATGGCGAGGCTTTTGCAAGCCTCTTGGTTCCAAAGGCCGCAGGGCGTTTACGCCTCGCCAGTGCGCTTTTGGCTGTTCAAGGCATGAGGCACCAGACCGCGAAGGCTTACTCTCCTTTTCGACTGTTTCGGGTTGCACGGACCACTTGTTGCTCTGGTGACCGGTGAGGAACATGCTGGCAAGTCTGAGTTTTTGAGGCCACTGAGGAGTTCCACTGCCCAACAGTCGCTGAATCAACCAGACCCCGGCCCAAGAGGAAAAACACAGAGGTTGTTTCAACAATAGGTGCTCAAGCTTGTTCTTTCGCAGGTTGAATCGCCCATCCGTTAACCTCTTGACCTCGCCATCCGTCAGGTCCACGCTTTGTGTCCGTCGCGCGAGTCGCGCGCGGTGCGCTCGCTGCGCTCGCCACGCCGCCAAGACTCGAGTGGTGCTATTGGGAGGCACGGTCAGCTTTCCCTCGAATCCATGGAAAGCAGGTACCCTCAGCTGACAGTTTGGATCCGACTGGCCCCCCAATTGCTGAAGTGGATTGGTGAATTTGAGGGCTTTACAAGCACATCCAAAGCCTCAGCATCTGCCAAGTTGCTGCCACATGTTGCTGACCCAATTAACCGGCTTTGGTGTAGCCCTGACCTTCAGTCCGTCAGGGCGTCCTTCAGCCGCAATGAAAGCCCGGTTGCTCCAATCAACATGGACCCCCACGGGGCCCATGTTGCTAGAGATGACTCTTTAGCAAAGAAGCCCAGGAACTCGGTGCAAGCTTTTTGTTTTCTTCAAGCCTTGACTCTTGAGTTCCTAACCCGTGGAGGCGCCGGGCGCATCGGCACGGCTGCAGCGGTGCACCTGCTGAGGCGGTCGCCTAATCCTTTGGAGGCCGGGGCGGCGTGGAGGCGTTTTTGAGCTGACGATGGCAAGAGACGTTGGAGGCAAATTACGCTACCTCCCACTAACATGGCAACTGAGAGGGGGTTCCTTCAAAAGGAAATTCATCTTCCAGGTACCTCCCCTCAGGTGCCATGTTAGTTGGAGGAAGGGTACTGTTTACTGAATAATTCCCTTTGCCTCTCCTTGGTTTCGGATTCTCGGCTGGCTGCCTTTTTGCGACGCTGGAAACGAGCACTCTGCCTGAAGTACCACTGGAAAAAAGCACCACTAGAAGCATTGCCCATGGCATTGGTTTTGAGGTGAGCGCCCGACACCCTCAAAGGGGCCCATTTTAGGTGGTCACAAGGATCTCTTCAAGTATTTATCTAGTCGGTTTATTTGCGGTTGCAATGCCTACAGTCATCAGGCTTCACAACGTCAGTAGAGATTGCATTCGGGGTTCGCAAAAGCAGGAACCCCAAACTGGGTGGTTTCCCTTTAGCTTTCCTTTTAGCCAACCCAACCACAAGTGCCGAACGACTTCTGAGCAGGGCCCCGGAGTCCATCTCCGATGGCAGGTGGTGCTGGCGGGGCGCAGCGAGGCCAAAGGCCAAAGAGCCCAGGAGGAGGTGCTGTCGGAGGCAAGGGCTGCCCCGCGATTTGTGCCGACGAGTTGCCTCTCGAAGCTCTTGCAATGGAGCATAAATGAACACATTTTGAGGGTGAGCATGTGATTGCGCTTGGATGTTCAAGCGAGCTAGATTAGGAATGTTCTAAGGGTCAAAGGGGTCGGTTCCCTTGAAACCAGGGCTCTAAGCTTTGGTACGTTGGTTGAACATCAAACGTCTGGCGGGGCTCGCCCCTGGGATTCAAGGACTTGACAGAGTTTGGCCTGTCCAGATCGATTTGTTTGGTATCCTTGTTTACACCCGTCGATTCAGATTTGAGCCTCTAGTCTCCCTTGATGCACGATCCCCGCTGAATCGTTTCCCTTGATAGACGTTCGGACAGCGCGAGAAGTAGCCAAACTGGCTCGCACTGTGAGCTATCCCTCACACTCAGACCCAAACGGGTTCTATTAAACGGGCTTCAGCTTGCATGAAAGGAGAAGCTGGAATCTATTTGTTAGAACACATTTAGGGTGAACCGAATGCATCCTCTGGGATTGTTCATGAAAGAACCCTTAGCATACGATGGCATTCCATTTCCAGAAGTAAGCACGGATGCATGTAAGGCTTAAGAATGCACGCTAGACCTGTAGCTGAAAGGGAGCATCAGAATTATCGGCTCAGCCAGAGGCCGACATCATTTTCTGATCAGTTATGTAAACCGATTGATAGTGACAGCAATGCGCAGGGGGGGAAGTGGCAAGCACCATTTCAACGAGTTGCCACCCGAAATGGGTGTGGCCTGCCCTTTTTGGGTTTTAGAGGGACACGGCAAAGCCGCTTTGGGGGTTCCCTTCCAGGACACCCAGAGTTCGGGGGTTTCCTGAGGGGGTTTCCGTTTCGATCGAGCCCTTTCCGCTTGCCATGGCACGCTGCAAGGCGGGGATGTCGCTGAAGCTGGGCCATCAGGTGTCCTTCCGCCAGGCGCGCCTTGTTTGACATGGCCGTGGTTTGTGAGGATACCCTTTGCAGGTTGAGAGAGCGGCCGATTTGTTTTGAGGGTCCCCCCCTTTTCCAGGTTGGTTTGAAGGGAAACCAGAAGTCAAGCCGCCATTTGGGCAAATAAATACCAATTTTGACACACACTCACCTCAGATTCATTTGGACCCAACTGGGAACCCAACATGTTAAGCGGAACCCCCGGATTGATCTTGTTTCGGGGGCGCAGTTTGTTGGGAATCCGGATCACTTTTGAGAGACACACTCCCTAACTTTCGTTGATTCACTCGGGGTCGACATGGATCAGGTCGCCAACCCCTTTTTAGTGGGGAACTAACTACTCAGGTGGATGCTTGTTTTTGCTGCATCTCTATGAGAGAGTGACCCTCCCTGGTGGTGGTCTTCAAGGGGGCTCCTTGTCAGTTTTCGTAACTTTTGGAAGCTTGGGAAGTCATGCTTGCATTCGCGTTCAAGAGCTAGGACAATTAACAGGATAGAATTCTGGTTGTATAGCTGTCGCTGGGTATCCAGGCTTTCTACGGTTAGGAATACAGACAAAGATAATAGATAAGAGACATGCATGAAGACTTCTTTCTCCCTTCTCTCGCTGTTTATCCTTCTATCTATTTCTTTATCAGGAAGCCTCTGCCTTGGCTCTTCGGTCGGGAGTATGCGGACGCTAAACACTTGTCTCTAAGCCGGAAGGAACTCGAGACATCTGAACTCCCCAGATGCATCCAGTATATTGGGGGCTGACAGGAATTCCTTCGCGGTTGCCATTCCCAGAAACCTTCTGAGAACTAACAAGCTCCGGATTCTTCGGTGTTTCTTTGTGTCCGATTCAATGACTTGCTCCCATTTTCGAACGTTGGCTATGCTGCAGGCAAAACAGCGCGCTTGGCAAGGGTTCACATGTTTGTTTGCTGTTGGCGAGTTTTTTGATGGAGAATTCAAGCAGGCAAACAACCCGGGAGCAGCTTGCCTAGGTTGATTGAAATATGTGCAGGCAACCATCCCTGAATTTGTGAGCATTTCTATTTGAAAGTACTAAGTGTTTTTTTTGACAGCCAATGAGGAAAAGAGAAGGGTCGAATACGAGGGGGGAGTTACCCGAATCACACTGGTGCAGAAGGACACGGAACGCAAAGGAGAACGAGGAAAAGGCAGATTGCAGGTGCAGAGGAAGGTCAATGAGTAAACAGAGGCAAGGAAAGGAGGGACGTAGACCTTGGAGCTGAATGGCGAACCAGGCACTGTCGACAGGAATGGCCCTTGGGAGGGTTGGGATGTGACAAGTCAAAAGATATGGAGGGTTACAAGTCTAACACCTGAGCCACAGGCACAATCACTTGTTTTCCCAAGAGCACAAGAGCACATGGGAGAATAAGGCCCGGTTTTAGTCCCTGGTTTTTGTTGACATGGCAGACTACTGCAACTGGGATGGACGCAACTTTATGAATACCAATTGATGTTTCGGATAGCCCCTTTTTTCACATTTGAGCGCTTCGGACGTCGTGGTGCCAAGTTTTTGTTTTTGGCATTGGACGTCTTTTTTCTGCGAGGTGGACTGGAGAGATGAAGGTGCTTGGCTCGAGAGCAGGGGCTTTTGGTGAGGGCAAAGGGTTTGGAGAACTTTCCCATTTTGAGCACTGGGGATGGACAAATTCCGCTGCGCACTAGTTGGGTAGGTACGGTTTCATGCATCGCAACCGTTGCAGGATGTTGCCACAGTATTCCTGGTAGTCTACCCAAATGTGCCGCAAGATCGAGGGGTCGAGACCAATTTTCCCATTCCCTTTTGGGGGCTCAGATGTGAGAAAGGACGGGGGCTCAGATTCGTTGACTTTCCAAGATCCCATCCTTCCAGGTCATTCAGGAGCAAGCAAAGCAGTCCAGGACTTGGTTCTTTCAACGTGACTGACCTCTCCAGACCATATGCAGACACACATACAAGGGAGGTAATTGAATTCTCAGCCAATTCAAGGTCATCCTCGATAAGAACATGATTCACTGGTTGTTTTCCCTTATACCGGGATTGGGCTTCGACACTTCTCACTGACCGTGGCTCCGTGATCACGGCTGGCCGTGTTTTGTATAGTGAACCTTCAAAGGAAGTGCTCGGAGTCGGGTTGAGGTTGGGCATAGCTCTTCTCCCCATCTTTCTAAGTTTTGGGACAGTTGCTGGCCATTGGCTTTCCCTTTCCCCTGAAAGCCAATCTAAGGAACCGTTGCCTTCACCATCCGCCGGGGTTTGCTTCAAAACCATCCAGCAAGTTGGCTGTTCTCTAAAGGCATTTCCCTTTGAAGCTAAGGGAGGACAATTAAAGCACCGGGGGACCGCAGGTTTTAGTCCATGTTTCCATTTACCAGCGCAACCCATTTTGGGATTACACCCATTTGGCTCCATACTTCGGGCCCCACGAAAAAGTCGAGCAACGTCGGCCAAGGCGCGCTGGCGCCTCTGCTGCGGGGCGCGGACTGTGTGCTGCACACGGCAGGGCCCTTCGATGAGCCCGTGGTCTTGAAGGCCGACGTAGCCCAACTGAGAGCCCAGCCTTCAGGTGTTCCCTGCTTTGACAAAATGGGGGTGGAACACCCCCCCAAGTAAGAAGGGTTGGGGGGTTCCAAGTTAAAAATACTTTGCGTGTTTCTCCTGTTTCCAACATTTGGGCTGGATGGGTCAGACCTCAATCCTGAAGCCAGATGATAGTGGTTTCCTTTGCTGCTATGGATTACAGACTGGGATCAGGGATCCCCCCAAGTTTGAAAAACTATTCTTCAAAATGGCCATCCACAAAAAGAAGGGTTCCACCCAAAACGAGCGAATTAGCAGGTCCACCCCCCCTTCCCGCCCCCAACAACAACAACAACAACAACAACAACAACAACAACAACAACAACAACAACAACAACAACAACAACAACAACAACAACAACAACAACAACAACAGCAGCAGCAGCAACAACAACAACAACCACAACCACGACAACCACAACAACAACAACAACAACACCAACAACAACAACAACAACAACAACAACAACAACAACAACAACAACAACAACAACAACAACAACAACAACACCAACACCAACACCAACACCAACACCAACAAATAACAACAACATCAAAAACAACAACATCAAAGCACAACAAATGACAACAAATAACAACAACAACAACAACAACAACAACAACAACAACAACAACAACAACAACAACAACAACAACAACAACAACAACAACAACAACAACAACAACAACAACAACAACAA